ATCTACACAGAGTAGAAGAAAGAATTATTAGCTCCCCTGTTTATTTTGTTTCCTCAATTACTGTTTAACGTAGAGATTTCTTCCAACATATTTCTAAACATAATAGTTTTAAGTCATTTAAAAAACTGATTTATTTTATTTATTTTAAACAATTTTCCAACATTGTCCACCATTTTTTTTTTTTTACAATATGCCAAATTTTGCACAAAAACTGGATGATGAAAAAAGCTAGTGTTGGCGTTTGGTCTTGCTTTTGTAGATCAATCAAAAAAATAAATAGAATTTCACAATATCATCGCTTGTTTCCCCTCATGTACACTGGTTCACTAACTCTAAATGCTTTACAATGTCAAGTCAACATACTCAAGCAGTCAAAAGTCAGGCCGACCATTGGTTTAATGCGTCAAGGCCCTTAGATGTTTGTTTTCTTCTGCGGCATTTGCATTATCACTGTTTATTTGATTAATCTGTTTTTGTGTAACAATCAAGCTTGGCCTTTTGCGTAACTAGGTTAAAAGTATCTTGTTTCCATAGATTCACAACAATAGTCAACTCTCTGTGAAGATCATGTGGAGACACTTTCTTTCTGTGGGTTTTATCTAATTTTATCAGATAAGCAGAACTGTTCCCAGATAGGTTTCTTCAAGAAAAGCAGATTATTTCAAGTTGAAGCAGTCACTCTGCTTACCTAGAGAAATTTCAGCCCAAGAGTTGTCCGCCAGATGAGAGATGAACAGATGGGTAATATAAATCACATGAGATGAACAGATGGGTTACATCACCCACAGGCCTTAGTGAATGATCAGCTCACTGAAGATATATATGCTGTATTAATGGTCAAAACTAGGTCTCCGAAGTGAACAAGGTTTTTGATAGCATGTTGCCTTGATTGTCAAATTAATGTAAATAAAATAATTATATTAGTTCTTGAAGAATGAGAAGTTTGTGCAAACATGTAACCATATCAACACAGAAGAATAATATCATTGGGATCCGTTTTAGAATGTTTTTTTGTCTCTCCAGGCTGATAAATTATTAAGGCAAAAATGAGTCAATCAAACTCCATCTGACTTTAAAGTCTATGTGAACCAGACATTCTTGTTATTTAATAGATGACAGGGTTTTATTTTAGCACTTATTTCTCTCTCGCTGTAATCATCAGTAGGAGAGGAATGGTTAAGAATATTCTGTCCAAGCCGCCAAACTGAGATCTTCACAGAAGAAATGCCATTTCAGAGTGAAAAAATTCCCACAGACTGTTTGATTGACTGTGACAGATTAAACGGTTAGACGTTTTTTTAAAGCCGTAGATTATTCAACTGCAGTTATATATATATATATATAACTAATTATTGTGCATTGTTAGCATAGCATATATGTACAGACTGGCAACTAGTGCATACACAAATAGTTTTTCTTACTGTAAATTTGGGTCATTCACACAGAATTGCATATTAAACTATTTAACATAACTAAAAAGCAAGGTTCAGCACAGTGTTTTTTCAGGGGCCGATCACACTGAATGTGCTTTTATGTCTTAAAAACGTGAGATGCACTGCCTTTTTTGTTGACAAGAAAAAAACAAACTTCATTTTTTTTCCTAAGTAGCTAGGCAATGACTGAATCAGCTGGGTATTGTGTGCGAGTGTTGCTGTTGCTATTAAAATAATTTTTTAATTTAAAAATATTGTGATATTTAAGATTTGTGATTCATACAGAAGCGGATCACTCAAAACAACGATCACTAGTCTCTCCTTCATCTTCAAAAGTCTCAGTAGTCATCTTGACAACACAAACACTGCTGTCACCTCAACAGAAACCCCGCTCTTGCTTTCATTTAATTGGAGAATGAAAAAAGACCTGACTGACGTAATGCACTTTTTCCACTCAAGGTTTACATTTTTTGAACTGTGAGCGCATGGCGCACAATGGCAAAAACACGAGGTGCAGCAGACAGTTAAAACACACAACACTTGCAGCGGTTAGTGCTTCAAAAACCGTGTTCGGGGTGATCGGCCCCCTAAAAAGCTTCTTTTCCACCATGTTAATGTCAAATAAATTAAACAATTGCCATGCCAACTTGTTACTGTAAACAGAAGTTCACAATGCTTGCCCTGTCTCAGGAATTTTGTTTTAACATGATCATGTGATAACAAAAACAAGCACCTTTAGACCGACCACATTGTAAAACATCTGAAATGTTGTTTTGGTCATTTTAAAATGCCTTATGCCATGGTCACACTTGAGTTTGAGCATGCAAAATTCTATTGTACGGTGCTTTAAAAAGGGGTTAGATTAAAGTAGAAAAAGCAAGTGATTATTTTATATATTACATTTCTGTACAGAGAGGTCATGTTTTGATCTTCAATTGGTCTTATGCAGTCATGATGAGATTTCGCTGTTCACCAAGTTTGAACTTTCAAACGCAGCAAACTGCGAAACTTGTGGCGTGAGATTGTGTTTCCGGTATGTCACGTTTGCTTTCGTATGAATCAAAATCTATGGGGCGAAAAGTGTGGTGTGACGGCGGCTTTAATCAATAATAGTCAACTTCTATTACATAAACTTCTGTCTACATAGTCAATTCTCTGAGCACAAACAAGTTACTTTGTATAACTAGTACTTCTCGCATGTATTGCCTGTTCTTGTTGAATTGCTGAATACCTCCTCAATTTTAAGTCGCTTTGTACTATAGCGTTTGCTAAATGTAATGGCCCGTTTCCACTGAGTGGCACAGTACAGTACAGTACCGTTCGGTTCGGTAGGCTTGTATGGTCGTTTCCACTGTCGAAGGGAAATTTTTTTGGTCACCCTTTGCAAAGGGTACCATAAGGCGGAGTTAGATGCACAACTGAATGCTATTGGTTTACAGAGATTCGTCACTCACAAGAGCAAGGGAATGAAACCAAAGGAAGCACCATTTTTAAAAACGCAGCCGAGACTAGGGCTGCATGATTAATCGAAAAAAGATCACAATCTTGATTCAACTCTACACATGATCTTACTTCAGCTTTTCTACGATTTAACCAATTAAATTTTTAAGGTCAGGAGAGAAGCTTAAAGTAGTCGCAAAAGTCTTCACAGGAACATGAAAACCTTCAAATGGCGTTAAAATTGTCCCATACTGTATTTATAAGATATAATTCACCCAGAAATGTCATTTCTGTCTTTATGTAATAATGTATCCGCGGCCACGAAATCGCACGTGAGCTGATAGCAAAATGTTTGGTTACAGCCGAAAAAGTGTGTGCACGACAATGATGGCTACTTTAGTGAACAGAACGTTCATAGACTGTGAATAACAGGTAGTAAAGTTGTAAATGACGTTCAGTTTGTTGCACAGATCGATCGTTTGAGAGCCACGCTGAAATAATGATTTGCATTTGTGTCTTTTTATCACAGTGACGGCAGGCATGAGCCACACCCAGAAGTGAAAATAAAACTGGCCGCACATCATTTAAATGATAATAACGCATTTTACAGTTATGATTACGACAAGCATTTGATATGTTTTTTTTTTCTTTCATAGCTAACACAGTGTTGTGCATGAAAATAAATGTTTACTGTGTCAGTATAACTACTCTAGCTTATACAATGAAAATAATGCAAGAAGAAATCTGATAATGACAAATGCCTGATTTTACCAGTAAAAACAAATGGACTAATAATGGTGTCAATGACAAATGACAAGCACATGTCTTAAACATAATAATTCAATTTTAGAATTATAAATAGTTGTATACAGATGTCATCATTTTACTGTGAACTACACAGTATAACTATTTTACTACACATAGGCCTAATATTATTATTCTTTTACCATATCATCACCTTAGAATTATAAAGTTCTATTTGACATTTCTGTCAAAATTGAGTTATTGACATATTCTAATTAAATGACAACTTATTTACGTTATGGGATGTTGTTTTAAAAGTTGTTTACATTTTAGGACTTAAAAAAAACAAATGTTACACACACACTGTTTGTTTGCTAGATGGAATGCAAAAACTTTGAAGCTCAATATCTCAAAATCATTCAGAACGCAGATAGAACCTTATAATTCCAAGGTGAAGATATGTTTAAGAATTAATAATAATAATAGCCTACTCATTAACATTACACAGTAATTATATATACATATAATATGGTTGACCTGAGCTCAAACAAACCTTGTCGTTGTCTTAATGTAAAGCCAAGAAAAACTAAATCTGCTGTGTCTTGTTGTTGTTTTACGAGCCCATATTAAAGTCGTTTCACTTTCTCCAGAGAGCCCGCCGCACATCCATATTTGAAATAACAAACTTTTGAGCTCATATTAATAACCTGCAAGTGATCATTGAAGTGCTTCCAACATCCGATTCTTTCAGAACGAGACAAACATGAGAGTGAAGTGCAAAAACAAAGGCGAAGCCGTAAAAAAAAAAAAACAGCGGCAAATGATGCTTCTGCAACCTAAAACATAAAACAACCTGCCATGTATAACTACTATCATCAACTATGATAATGAATCACAATGACAATTATGAACTCGGAATTATGGAATTACTTTCTAACAGAGGTTACATGTGCTGCTAAAGACTAAAGACACATATGGGAAGTTTTCACTGACTGTGGGCTAAATTTTGTGTTGTTTTTGAACTCAAATGTATGCTGTGGACTAAATGTTGGTAACATATCAGAGACTGTAAGGGTCCGTTTGTGTTAATATATGTTGCATTTATTTATTTATTTATTTCATGTAATTGCAGACGTTACAGTAGGTTATTTTTTCATTAGGTAATGGCTTAGAGCTGGAGTGTCCAAAATCAGATGGAGGGCCGGTGTATTGCAGAGTTTAACTCCAACCCCAAATAGACACTAGAATAGATACTAGAAACTTCCCATAAGCCAACAGTTTGGTGATGCTGTCTGAGCATATACCGAGGTAAAATAGGGGGAAATCTCATATTTTCTCAAATTTGTCCTGAAATCTCATACTTGCTTCTTTCCCCTCTCCTAGATATGTGTCACAGTGACAGCCTGGATCTGCAGATTAATGGCAGTGCTCCATATGACGAGCTGGAGAACGGACACGATGCTGCCTCCCAGCTCAACATGCGGGGTGTTTTCCTGCATGTCCTGGGTGATGCCCTCGGCTCTGTTATCGTGGTGATCAACGCCATCATTTTTGTGTTCGTGTGGAAGCCCTGTGAACCTGGCACCATCTGCGAGAACCCTTGTTCGGGTCAACATTGCGCAGACCATGCACTTAACATCAGCAGTCCATTAACTAACGGCACTTTGATCAAAGCAGGACCGTGCTGGGTGCTTTATCTGGACCCCACACTCTGCATCATCATGGTCTGCATCCTTCTCTACACCACCTACCCCCTGCTAAAGGAGTCCGCTCTTATCCTGCTCCAAACCGTACCCAAGCAAATCGACATGCACCAGCTGAACGCTCGCCTGCGGGATCTGGAGGGCGTTCTGGCCGTGCACGAGCTGCACATCTGGCAGCTGGCGGGCAGTCGCATTATCGCAACAGCGCACATTAAATGCCACGACCCCACATCCTACATGGATGTAGCCAAGCGCATCAAGGACTTTTTCCATGATGAGGGCATCCACGCGACAACTATTCAACCGGAATTCGTAACGGTGAATTCAGAGTCCCGCGCTTCGCTCTGTGAGCTCTCCTGCCGAACGCAGTGTGCACCAAAGCTCTGTTGTGGGGCTGTTGATACCGCAAAACCTCTTGAAGGTTCTTTAGAGTCAAAGAAGTCATGCGAATCCAAAACCCCAACATTACCTAGCGCTTCTGTGACGTCTCTGGAAATCATCAGCGAGTCCGTGGAGGACACGAGCCGACCAGAATCTGTCGTGATCATCACTAGGGAGGTGGAGTCATCGCTGTGAGTGATCTCTGTATTGGTGATCTAGTGTATTGGATCAGCTGACTGATTTCTAACGTGCTGTGAGAAGAACTGAGCCCAAACACATTCACACACACCACACAGCCGTGTATCTCAGACATCACACCAACTTTCCGACAATATAAAGAGCCTGCTCTGCATGTGTGTTTACCACGTCGTCTGATTGGTGTGTCCGTGCCAAAGCTTCTCTTCATACAGGACGTCAACACTCATGGATGTAATGCAATTTTAACGTTCGGCTGCTGGACCAAGTAAAAACGTCGGGACCATTTGTATTTCTACCCATCACTTGCCCGTTTTCTTCTTCACACCTTACATATTTAGCTTTTCAATTTTTGTGAGAGATGTAATAATTTATGTATTTAAGTTATTGGTAATTATTATTTTGTTTCCTAAAGAGCTTTTTGTAATATTTAGATTTGGTTATATATATATCTATATATATATTTGGAGAGGTAAAAGAAATGATTTGCTTCTTTCGAAACAAATGATCTATGCTTTAGAGTATTTTTAAATCTGATGTTTTTTTTTTAAAGATCGCTGTGTAATCGTTTAAAGACACATCAGAAGATGCGTCGACAGTATTTCACCAAGCCTATAATTGAAACTGCTGTATTATAGCACTGAATATGTTCAGTGTAGGAACTAGACAACCTTCTCTTATTGGTTTTGATACAAGCTGATGCCTTCTTTGTTCTGTCGTTCTGTCAATCAAAACAAGAGGTTTAAATGCTGTAAAATAAACTGTGGAACTGGCTGATGTTTAGTCCGTGCTGACGTAAACCTGAAGGGACCTTCATATATTTGTGGAAAACGCTCATTTGGCAACTGTGTGTGTGACCAAATATAATTGTGGTTATAAGGAAATCTTTGAGAAAACCAAGCAACATTTGTAAACCAAAAGAAAAGGGAGTTGTGTTCTGGACTATGCAGGGAGTAGGCACGTGGGTTTGGCTTTGAACACATCATTTGAGGTGTTGCGAAATCCTCTCCGTGGCCTATATTGGGGAAAGAAACAGAATATAAACTCTTCAGAACACTATTTATTTCTTCAAGTATTTAGCATTTGGTGAAATTATGCAATTTATTAAAAACACAAATGTATAGCCTTTATAACTAGTCAACTTTATTAGAAATCTGTAGAGGAACGAGTTCACTTTATAAACGTGCAGATGACGTGTTTGTATCACTGAGGATTTTAAAAGTACCCTGCCAGCTGAAATGTTTTTTGATATGTTATTGTCAAACGTGTCATTGTGAATTAAACATGCTTGTTTGGTACTGTTCAATTCAAGTTGTGTCAATTTTTTTAAATATTTGAATTAAATGAGTAATGAACAGAAAAAGATACTAAAACATATTTTAAATGAACAGAGAAGAACCTCAATTAATAACATTATTTAAGCCAGGTTAACTTTGGCTCAATCTCAATTCTACTATTTTACCCCTTTAACCCCTTCCCCTTGGCCCTTTAGAGTGTGAAGGAAAAGGATTTCAAATCTTCCCCCAAAGAAATGGGAGCCCACTTCAGCACCTGCACACGTCATATGTCCTTGCGAAATCTTGCTTCAAATGAGATCAGACAAATACAACTGCTGTAGTTATTCCAGTTGTGTTTGGTATTTATCTTCAGGAAGTCACTGAAGACAACGATATGTTATTCTGACGATATAATGTGGCAATACGTTCGTAACTATACTGTGTATTTACATTGTGGCCATATTCATCTAAACACTTGAAAACTACATTAACGTTATACCAGACACTGTAAAAAGATCAGCCACTAGACTTTTCTGACAGGGTATTCCAGATTCATTGAGTGTCAGAATGTTGTGGGACTGCTGTACAGGAGTTATTATGAATTATAGATAGTGAAATTTAGCGTTTTTTTATGACGGTAAAACACGAAAGTCGTTTTTATTTAATAAACATGTTTGTTTGTTGCAAAAATTCGCAATAATGACAAAATACTAATTTGTGCATCTCCTCCTGACTTGTGTGCAGCCATGTCGCTGTTGTAGATTGTATTTGAGGAAATTTTTGTACCCCTTGGTTTTGAGTGTGGTCCTAAAGAAAATATCTGTTTTGAGGCCAATCTAGCCCTTCCCTTTAGCCCTACGCCTTCAAGCTAAAGAGAATTGGGACAATGCTACTCCACAAGAATGCTTAAAACGAGAGGTAAGGGAAGGGCTAATGCTGAGTTCAGACTGCATGATTTTCAAAGCAATCATATCACAGGTGTTTTCACACTGCAACTATCTGGAGTAGCGTTTTGTTGCTGCTTTGTTTACAATGTAGGATGGATCAGCGACAGGGGGTTTCACACGATATGACTTTAGAATGGGAAGAATCGCCGACAACTTTGTCTCAGTTCAAAAACCACGTCTCTCACAATCAAACATGCAAGAATTGACATGGAAACTATGCGTAGTCATGTATAATATAATTTATTATTAACTACATAATGAGAAAGAAGCCTTTAGTGGGGTAGAAAATGTGCTTATTTTGCTCACCTGGCTTTAAATAGAATTAGCAATTTCTCCTCAACTTTTTTTACTTTTCAACCTGGTTGTGATACTGCTCAGGTGACAACGGTGCTCCTGCCAAAGTTATACTAGTTTTTCCTCCATTTCTTGGGACCTAATAGACTGAGAAGACGCGTGTTTAACTTCTCTCCAACCTCCTGCTGGCCTGCAGATACCCATACTAGTGGATGCTGCCATCTCATTGGCTGTAGGTAATTGCTGATGTTATTTTCAGTCAAAACTCATTTCAGATGACAGGATTTCAATCATGTCTAGATATTTAGCATGCCAAATATCTCACTGGTTTCGGCAATTCATCCGCGATTCTCTTAGATTGCATCTTTGATAATTCATACTGGGTGATTGTTACTCACGTAAATGAGCACCATGATTTAATTTCTCAAAACATGTCAGCGAGTCAAAATCGGGGCTAGAATCATGCAGGCTGAACTCGGCATAAGGGGTAGAATTGGGATCGGGCCTTTGTAAGCTGGGCTAGATAAGCACATAAATAGAAAAGAGCAGTGAGCCCAGTACTGAACCCTGGAGGACACCAGATTTTGTATCTATCGACTGAATTTAAAATAAAGTGGAAATGTTAGAAATCAAATCAATTTAGATCAAAGATGTTCCACATTAGGTAAACAGCAATGATTATTGTCAACTTAGAGGTCAGTTATAGAGAGATGTTTAACAAGATGTTTTATTTGCCTTGAAAACTTTACTCATCAGTTTTAATCCAGTGGTGTAAGCTCACTGTTGATGTAAAAGAGCCATTTTAAACTCTCCGAGGTAGTTGAAAGCATGAGATTAGATTGCTTTCATTGTGTAAAGGCGAATGTGATTGATTGAATTCAAACAGCTACAAGAAAAACACAACACCCACTCTTCACCAACTGACCAAACACCAATAGTGTCAAATGCACTACAGCAATGTTTTCACACTTTGCCATTTTGCACCAAAACACTGATTACAAATGAAATGGCAGCTGCCATCCATATCTTTTTCAGGGTATCTGCGGGGTCTTAAACGGTATTTAAATTAAAACCAAATTATAGGCCTTAAAAAGTCTTAAAGTTTTTTTTACAATGGCTATGACACTTTTTTTCAAAACATTTAACAAGTTTCCTAAACTCTTAACACGGTTAGCACAACATCCGTCTTCGTGGGCTATACAATTAACACATTTCTTGTTGCTTTGACACAAAATGCATCCAGTTAACACCAATTTAAAATGCTTGAACTTCTTTTACACACAAACTTAACCAAAACCAAAACAATGTAATTTTACAGTCCAATTTACCAATGCTTTCACACAGTATGTCAGAACAGATAACACCATGTTCTAAACAGAACCTATATAGGCTAAAGCCAAAGTGAACAGCTGTTCATACTGTAAATTGAAACACAAATATATTCCCTATATGTGTGTGTGTGTGTGTGTGTGTGTGTGTGTGTGTGTGTGTGTGTGTGTGTGTGTGTGTGTGTGTGTGTGTGTGTGTGTGTGTGTGTGTGTGTGTGTGTGTGTGTGTGTGTGTGTGTGTGTGTGTGTGTGTGTGTGTGTGTGTGTGTGTGTGTGTGTGTGTGTGTGTGTTTTGAACAATTATGTCATTATGAAACAAGTTTGCAGTGTTTTGTTAGACATGGTGTAGTGTGTTAGTTTATTATTGTATTTTGAAAAGAAGTTTAGAGGTTTAGTTTACAATGAGGGATTTTGAGCATGAAATTAACTGTTTTGTCAATTGTGTGTTTTAGGTGTGTTGCTGTGTTAAGAGTTTAGCAAACTTGATAAATGTATTGAAAAAAACTGTCATAGCCATTGTAAAAAACTGTAAATCCACTGAAGTATGGTGATGTAGGCCTTAAATAATTTTAATCGCGTCTTCATTTTCCTGTCCATGTAAATGTCTAAAATTTCATTCATTATGGTTTTAAAAAAGGTCTTTAAAAAATCTTAAATTTGACTTGAAACCTGTTGAAACCCTGTTTTTTTTTTTTTTTCAATCGCTCCCCTTTTTATTTGCTCATAAGCAACAGCATGAATTAATCCATCTCAGCTGAGTGACCACTTGCATTTTGAGCCATCCAAACAGGCTGAAACAGCCTGGAATTTGATTATACATATAACGTTTTCACAAGTATTCAGAATGAACCATTTTATACCAGGAATGAATCATTATTTCTTTGTCCATCTAAGATAAATTATTCATTCATTTATTTTCTTTTTGGCTGAGTCCCTTCATTACAGGGTGTCTGCGGGGTCTTAAAAAGTATTAAAAGTTAATAAATCGATGTAGAGAAATTAAAGGCCCTTAAAAAGTCTCTTAATTGGTATTTTGCAAGGTATTCAATTTTATATAATGTTTGATTATGCAATGTATGGTTTTATGCTTAAGTTTGCCCGAATTAAATCTGTCAATATCAGAATGCTGTGTAGATTATGAAATCATACTAGATTTAACATCATGCTGCTTTGTTTACTGAACCAACCTGCTGAATTAGCTAGATTTAATCAATTTTTGTTCTGTATATAAATATTGTTTTAGTTTTTTATTAATTTCTTAAAATAATGTTTAGTAAATACAGTGCAAGTTCAAGTATCGCCAGTGTTTCTGGTTGAAAAGTGGTTGTAAGGTGAATGGAAAGAGTCTTAAAAGGTATTGATTTTCACTCTCTGATACCTGTATACACTGTATTAATCAGGGGTCACCCCAGCGGAATGAACAGCCAACTTATCCAGCAAGTGTTTTTTTTACGCATCAGAGGCCCTTCACATCCATACACACTCATTCCCACCCATACACTATGGCCAATTTAGCTTACCCAATTCAATTATAGCGCATGTCTTTGGACTTGTTGGGGTGATGCAGTGGGAAGCACAATAACCTCACAGCAAGAAGGTCACTGGTTTGAGCCTCTGCATGGTCAGTTGGCTTTTTTTGTTTATTAGAGTTTCCATGTTCTCCCCATATTGGTGTGTTTCCTCCGGGTGCTCCAGTTTCCCACACAGTCCAAAGACATGTGGTACAGGTGAATTGAATAAACTTAAACGTGTAAGTGTAAGTGAGTGAATGAGTGTGTATGGGTGTTTCCCAGTACTGGGTTGCAGCTCGAAGGGTATTCGCTATGTAAACCATATGCTGGACAAGTTGACAGTTCATTCTGCTGTGGTGACCCCTTATGAATAAAGAGACTAAGCTGAAGGAAAATTAATAAATGAACATTTGCCAATGTTTAACAGTCTTATGAAAATGACTGTCAGATGCTCTATGACTCATGCCCTCTATGGCACTTTGGTAAATGTATAGCAATGTTAACATTTTAAAACCTCCACTGGTCTTGATTCTGTCATTGTCTGCTTTACCTCTGCTCTACAAACATTCTCAACCCTTTACACCTTCAGACGAGATCCATTTACCAAATTGCCTTCACACATTAGGCAGTTATATGGTAAAAATTGACTGGCTAAATCCTCTTGGGTAAAACGTTTTTTTTTTTTTTTTTTTTTTTTTTGATAGTCAACTTTAAAAATTCTACTAACTGCAAACATCTTCACAACTATGTCGACGAGCAGGCATTAGAGTACAACTGCCAACAGACATTCTACTAACTGTAAGTAACTTTGCAACTTCATGTTGGCTTACTCTTTAAACTCAATTCCTGGAGGGCCACAGCTCTGTACAGTTCTGCTTCAACCCTATCAAACACAGCTAATCCAACTAATCAAGATGTTTAAGACTAGTGTAGTCTTGAACACCTTGAT